GATGCCGCAATGCTTATGGCCGATTTGGGCAAGATTGACGTGACGGACCAGATCCCGGTCCCTTGCTACTAGCTACTACTGCAGCGGACTGTGACAGGATAGGCTGTGAAAGCAACTGCATCAGGCGCTTGCTCTGACTTGCATGCTCTGAGGCCACAGCCTTCCACAACCCGTGGCTCTCAACAATCTGCCTAAACTGTGGGCTAGCAGCTGCTGGGTGCTTTCTTGCAGTTCTCTTTTCAAGTTCGGCAGGAGGCGGATACATGGCCAAGCTGGACGGTGCCTTATTGCCGTCTGCACAGGCGGCAGACGCCTGAGATTGCAGCTACTGTCCCGGCATGTGAAGCTATGCATCAACGCCAAACCGCCGAGACTCTGGCAGATTCAAGTGTTTTCCTGACAGTGCACACAATTAAGAACACCCCGGTACGCGTGACACAAGTCGTGAAAGCTGAACAGTGCTTCACGCAGCCTCCCAGTCGGCGAGACTGCTGGGATGTGCCGTAATGTTGAAATCGGATTTCATGTCCCGCGAGGCTCTTCGAATACCGAAGACGCTCAGGGAGCTTAACCTAGAGAGAAAGAAAGCCTGTACGAAAGCCTGTACGACTACAGGTTGCTCTGCTAAAGCAGCAGAGGCAAGTCCACGCGCTACTGTGGTCCCGCGAGGGAGACAAAGGCGGATGATCGCTAGATTCTTGCGGGAGTTTTGACCTTCTAGTGCATTTGCAGTTGCGAGTTGCGTTTGTTCTATGTATGTATATATATATATATAGTCAATACATTCTATGAAGAACGGCATGTGCCTTGTGGATGGACCCTTCAACCTCATGCCAGTCCCCCAAGAAAGTCTGGAGAAGGTCAAGCCTCACCTTTCTGCGGGACACTTCCGCCCCGCCCCAGAGTCCTTCCAGAAGTTCCAGTGCAAACTTCCCAAAACATCCCGAACCATCCAACAGCCCTTTCCTCGATCCCGCTTCGATCCTCAGAAAGTAGATCTGTGAATTGAGGCCAAACAGAGGAGGCTTCGAACAACTATCCACCGAGCAGGTGTAAGGACTCACAGATTCTCCACTTGGGCCATGAAAGGAGTGTCCATGCGAGCCCGACATTTTATGCCATAAGCATCTTGGGCCTTCCTCCGTGTCTTCTGGCGGCTTGGTCCAAGTATCAGCCCGACTGTGGTGTTCATGGCAGTGCTCACCAAACCAGCCCGAAGCCCAAACCCCGAACCCCATTGGATAAAGGGATGGGTGTCGCGGACTGACTCACTGTGCATCATGATCAAGAATGCTGTCGATGGTCAAACAATTAGTAATTCTGAATTGATGCTGCGTGACTGTCGACTATATTCCACTTAGTCGCCGGACTAGCTGGAATGTAGTGAGGAGGCCTGCTGTGTTCGATCAACCTGAGCATGGAAGTCGCTGAGATGATGAGGGCAAGTATGCATGAGTTTGAGTGAGGGTGAAACCCAAAGCTGTTCAGGTGCTGTGACTGTTTTACGCTATACTTGATGTCATGCATGTGCCTGGTCTTAAGACAGTCAATGAGCTGTGCTGCTGCTGTTCTTCTGACTATTCCCTGCAATGCGGGCTCGTCCTAGCAAGGTGGGAGTCTCTAAATCGCCGATGCGATGGTGCGATGCCGCATGTGCAATGATGCAGGATGTCAAGATATATAGGCAAAGCTGAGCCCAGTGAGTATTGTCACATAGTTGGGTGCGACTCCCACCATCCACCCGTCAAATCATGGTCTCTATAGACTTTAAATTTTAACGCTACGCCGCCCGCCTCGGCCGCTGAGGGGCAGAAGGCACGGGACACACGTCGGAAGCGTTGGTGCATGTCCGCAGCAGAAGCCAGAGGTTGTGGGAGGAAAACAGGAGCTTCTACTGCACCAACAGCCTCTTCAAATGTTACCTGCCTGTTACCTGGGCCAAGCTGGCCCGGAGAGGGCAGGGCAGGGGAGGGAGGGGGAGGGCAGGGGAGGGAGGCGGGAAGGGAAGGAAAGGGGAAGCGCGAGCAGGAGGATTCATGCTATCTCTAGCTCAAGGCAAGATTTCGGTGCGATACGCTGATTGTTGACAGGGCGCCTCAGTCGATTTATTCTACTGGTTTTCAGAAAATCCTTAGCAAGGGCCGACGTTGGTCGTCGGACCCGCAGACAACTTTGCAGAGCTTGGAAGCTGCAGATCTTGGAGGAAGGATCTAAAACCTGAGTGTCTTGCCTCCGTGCAGCCACGATCATCCAGGCAAGCTGTGTTTATGGTTTGTTGCATTCCTAAGTTATCCGTTTGAGTCCGAATGCAGCCAAGTGGGGGGGGGGGACCCCAAAAAACGCCAAGAAACAGCAAACAGTGAGGGGGTCCAGCAGACACAGGCCGACACGTGAGGCAAAATCCGGCGAAGCCGGGCGGGGGGGTGGAAAATGGACGCAAAAAGCGCATGGGTCCAACCATCGACCAGAGAGGAGGATTAGGTGGAGGGTACTTGAGGTAGCCCCCAAGACGCCTGGGCCGGAGGCCTCGGCGGATTGGTGGAACCGATCCAAAGTACAACCACTCATGCAAACCAGGTTGGAATTAAGGACTAAGTAAGTCGTGTATGCCAAGCCGTGCAGGTCATGGACGCGACTTGGCAGCTCGAAGCTAGCCTCTTGCACCCCTCTTTCCAAGTAGGCAATGCAGCCCTGAGTCTAGCCTTTCTGTGCCAACGGTCAGGGCAAGCAATTTGACGAGTACAAAAAACGCGACGTAGAGAAGGCTGAGAAGGCCTATTTCTTGATATCGGGAACGATGAGCTTTGATGCCGGGCTCGTGAGAAGGGTCCAAAGGCCGTGCCTCACCGCATTCTAATGCACATCCTATGCAGTTGCGTGGTTGCCCAGTTCTCCAACACCCGTCGCTGCAGGCGCAAGGTTGGACAAGAAACCGATGAGGAGAAGGCTAACCGGTTGTGGGCACAGGAGGCCGAAACGAATGCGCAGAAGCTCTGTAATCATCTCGAGGCCAGTTGCGATGCCTCATGGTCTCCGTTCAAGCATGCCAACACACCCAGCCAACAATTAAAAGCCTGGGAGGCGAATGCTTTCCAAGAATTTGGTCTCGGGACTGTCGAGCCGGGTGGCCCGCTTGAGGAATACAAGGAGCTCCTGAGCACAGGCCTTCAAACGCAGCAGCAGGTCTCGAATTCCAACCCTACACCCAGAGCTCTAAACCCTAAGCCTAAATCTAAAGCTCAGCTGGCTAAGGGACATGCCTCATCCTCTGGTGTGGGACCAGAGCTTGCTCTTGAAGCAGAGCGGCCTCAACACAAGCCCACGTTCATGGCAGAACGTTTACAAGGAATGCGCTGAAGCAACCAAATGCGGGGTGCTCATTCTTGCAGGCACGAGCCTCATTTGGCAGTCGTAGCCTTCATGTCTTCTTCTGTCACAAACGCGTGTTGGTCGGCTGCTTCACGAAAGCCACATGGTATAGTGCTTGTGGTTTGGAGACAGGGCTTCCGAAGCTTGAGGATATGCAGGAGCAAGGCTACCAGGCTAGGAGCCCAAGCGTGAGGCAAGACTATGCAGAGAAGTCTAAGAAGTGCGGTACGGCTGTTGTGCAGGTGCACAGGCTTGACGGACGGGTGGCTGCATGCCTATTCATCAAGACACCAAAATGCTGGCAGGTCCAAGGTACATGACGATTGTTGGTAAAGCTACTGGTTTTGGCCTTGGCCCAGTCCTTCTGCAATGGACAGAGGCCCTCACCAGCTCTCAAGAAGCTTCTAGCTTAGCCGAGGTACTAGATCCTTGCTCTTAGAGTACAGTGCTGTCATTAACCTTGCCGGTTTTTGGGAGATCGGGGCCAAGAGAGAGCTTCCAGGCGAGCCGCAATACTTTCTGAAGTGGGTGTCCTCGGCTGTACCATGGCGGCCCTTCAGTTCGCGCGCATTGTGCACGGGATTTAGCTGTTGGGGTTTAGGTTGCAGGGATGTCTGGAGCACGGGAGCGCCCTGGGCCAAGGCCTGTCAAGACGAAGTCAAGCTCGTCGACGACCCAAGCCGTGTGACACCTAGATGGTTGAGCGGTCGCGGATGTCACCTGGAATCTGTGAGCTGGATTACGCGTCGTCAGCCAACTTGGCATTTCTAGTGGGCATAGCTCCCATCAAAGCAGGTGCAAGACCAGGGTAGATGAGTTAGATCGCCCGTAGAGACACCCTGTCTGAGCAGCTGTGTGTCACCGACTTTTCCTGTCCTCCACACCCCTCCGTGAGGTTTCGAGGCCGTGGCCAGGATGGAGCAAGTGGACAGTCAGAAGGTGGAAAACAGCCTCAGCCAGTTTGTTGAGGTTGGGGTGTCCGGCGTGCGTGAAGCCCTAAAAGCCTTGATGGGTTTAAGGGGCAATCGTGGCAGGAGATCCTTGCCGAAAGCGATGGTGCTTTCATGAAGATGATCGTCCTGGAGTGCACGGAGTTACCCCATTACGCCGCCAGACTGCGCCGAGTCAGTGGCTTGCCCGTTTTGGATCTCGTTACATGTGCCAACTTTTTTGCCAAGGTATTGGTAGGGAGCTTTTGATCGGCTAAGGGACTACCCCACTGCAGCTCTAGATCGTAGCAAGAGCGAGTTCGACTAGAGGAACTTCGTAGGGGCCTTGGCGGGTGATCGGCAGGGGCAGTCCCTTTGCCGGTGTTTGTTGCTCTAACGAATTGGTGCGCAATTCCGCTGCCGGGAAGCCTCCCGGGAGTGTCACGCTGGCCTTCCGTAGGAGATGTGTTTTCACAGGGTCGGGGGTGCCTGTGCCTCTCTGAGGGCGAACAGGGTTGGGCCCGACAGTGGTCGCACTTTCTGCAGTTTTGGGCGAGCAACTGGCCGAATTTGCCTGGTTGCAGGTTTCTTGTCGTGGGGCACGGGGTCTTGAGGAGTCATGAGTACACGTCAAGACTACGTATCAGCAGTGCACCGCCAAAGCTAGAACACTTCTCCTCGTCACTCCGGCATTTGGCGATTTTGGAGCTGCCCACGATGTCCAGAGAAATGCAAAGATTTTTTTTGCTGAATTCACTGCAGAAGTGGTTGCCAATTTGTTGAGGGCCGAGAGCTCGGCCGAATTCAGTTTGACATGCATCAGTCCAAATACCCCCTGTACATGATGTGAAAACTTGTACATAGTCCGTAACGCCTGTCAGCCAAGAACTGCGTGGACGAGGCATGCTTCTCAGCTCGAGACTCCTCGTCCACGTCTTGGGACACAACTCAGCCTCTCAGCTGGACCCCTGATACACTTCGAACCGGCCCACGTGATCTTCTGTGGAATCTCTGCAAGTCTTAGGAAAAGTCTTTTCTCTTCCTCCCCCCTCAAATTGTCAAAGGGACTCC